AGCTACTAGGAAGAAAATTAACTCTATCATCCCAGCTGAAACTAGGACAGAGGTCCATGTCTGTCTTGTGCTAGGGGCCCCAGAACTGGATATGGTACTCCAGGTGGGGTCTCAGCAGAGTAGAGTCACCTTCCCCAGCCTGCAAGGGATCTCCAAAAATGTGCAAGCATGAGAAAGTAGCTGCAGTCTCTTCCCCAAGAAAACAGGAAATTTAAAAGGCCAGAACTCATGGACTCCTGCGCAGGTTACTGTAAATAGCAGACAGCTGCAGCTCATGGACTCAGTGTTCCTGAAAGCCCATAGCAGCCTCTGGAGAGTCAAAGGGAGACCCAAAGCTGAGTCAGCAAACCAAGAGTGCCTAGGGAAATCCTTTTGAGGATGGAGGAGACCTCATTAAGTCAGAGCAGCGCTGGTAGTCTCAGGAGGGAGAATGTTATTTGGGAAGAGGTGGCGCTCCAGGCAGAAGGGTAGATGAGTCTATTTTAGGGTTTTATGAAACAGCCTCAGGCAGGAGTTGGTGTTTCATTTGATTCTGGAGGGAGAACGCTGTGGTTGATCACTTCTTGTGAGTGAGAATTTGCTGTTTACAGTCAGCGTATGAAAGAAATACGCAGCCTGTCCTGAGACAGGGTTGCACTGCAAGCAGTGGGGCGGCTCTAGCAGAAAACTTGGGGCTTGCACAAATCCACTACAGCAAGTTACTGCTGGAAGCATGAGTGCCATGTCCCGTGCCATCCCAGTGCTCTCAACTCCAGATTAAATTTCCCATGTGAGGTGGAGGTGCCTTCCCCACTAGATGGCAGAGGGAGCTTGTGCTTTGGGTGCCGCTCCCCAGTTAACAGCACCTTTTGTTCCCTTCCTTTGTCCAGGTACCTCCAGCATCTGCTAAACAGCACGGAGTCAACCTGAACACTGCGTCAACTCCTTTCCAGCAAGCGAGTGGCTATGGGCAGCATGGCTATGGAGCAGGTATGCTTACCGCTGCGCCTTTCCTGTGAGCATCTGCAGAGCTGCTTGCACACTGTAACACCTTGTCTTGTACACACCGGCAGGCTATGATGACTTAACACAGGCAACGGCAGCTGGAGATTACAACAAAGGAGGCTACAGTGGGTCATCTCAAGCACAAAACAAATCTGCTGGCACTGGACCTGGGAAAGGTAACACATGAGACCTGAGGTTGCTCTTGAGTGGGATTTAGTAGGGCAAGCTTCCAGTGCTGTGCAGTCAACACAGCAGCCAGCTCTAAACAGGGTTACAATCCAAGCTGTTTCTCCATCTCCCGTATATAAAATGCTTTTTTAATGGCCCAGGTGTTCCTTCTAAACCTCATGGCTGAACTTTGCATAAGGATTTGTGTGGCTCATGCGCAGCTTTGTCCACAGTTATACATGGGAGAAATGGTGAGCTGTTTCCTCTGCCAAAGTTTTCTTTGCTAAAGAATATAGTGGTCCTGCAGCAGTGCTGTGTTTTTGAAGCCTAAGCAGTTGGATGCTGCTGCTGAAATGGTCCTCTGCCAAATGAGGACTAGATTTTGAGTTTCTTGTTAGGCACCTGAGATGATAGCTGTGTGTTAGGAGCAAGCAGGGCAGTTCACACATCTCTGGGCTGTTGTTTCAGCTGCTGTACACCCTGTAACTCATCGCATTGTTTCATGACTGGAAACGTTTCTTTGTGACTGTAAAGGCTGAATAATTTATACAGCTTATATGAAAGCTTTATTCTGCAGATGCTGGTTAGACCTGAGAAATGTATACTGAATTGCTTAGCACTAACTAGTTCATCCTTGGGCTTAAGCAAATACCAAGCATTTGCTGTGCATTTGAAACACCAACTGGACTTCTTCAGCCAAGAGCTGATCACACGCTCCTCTGTGGAGGAGCAGTCCAAAAAAGAGCAATGCTCTAGGAAGGGTACAACCTTAGAGCAGTGCACACCCTCTGTGGCCAGTCCTCTGATTCACTGGCCAAAGGAACTGCTGATTTTATTCTGATCCAAGTGAAATGATTAGAACCAGTCAAAAAGTGAATAAGTGGCTGGTTTGAGAGTCCCCTCAGGCTGGTGAGTGTTTCTGAGCCTGTTGTGGCACCAGTCAGTCCAGGTGGAAGCCAGCCTGAATCAGTGATATTGATTCTCTCAGGGCAGAGGAACATTGCATACCTCACCCTTCTGCAGGATGCGAAAGGACAAGGGCTCAAATGTGTAGCAGATGCTGAGTCTCATTGCACTACTGGAAAGCTCTTGAATGCTGCAGTAGAGCCAAATGCATCCCTAATCCTAGGGGAAAGCTGGCTTTTCGGGAGCTTAAATGAGTGTTCGGTGCAGCCAGCTGCTGCCTGGTGAAGTGCATCTGAATCCAGCGGTAACCACTGGGTTGTGGATTGTGGGTGATTTATCCCAGTGGGCTGATTTCCTGCTTTGCAGCAGGAGTGAGGAACTGAGCCCTTTCTTCTGTTCCCATGTGGGGTGCTGTAGGTCTGACAGCATGGAGAACCCTGCTGAGCTGGCTGGCAGCAGCAGGGTGGGTGGTGCAGGGGCTGCAGACAAAGGTGCATCCACTGAGGCTACTGGAGGTGCTGGGAGCAAAGTACAGGGCTCATGCTGGGTGGTGGTTGACCTTCTCATTGTCAGTGGCTGCTTTTTTTGTTTTCCAGGTGTTTCTGTGACCTCAAGTAACACAGGTGTGCCTGATATCAGTGGCTCAGTCTATAACAAGACTCAGGTGAGCATTGCTGGGTCCTCCTCCCTTATGGCCTGAGGCCAAGGCTGATGGTTGCCCCTGTGGAGCACTGGTGGCTGGGGCTATCTCCAGGCTGGTTGGTCTTGGAGTCAGCAGGCTGTGGCATTTCTTATGCTGGCTCTGTTTGCTGTTGGAGAGGAGTCTTGTCCTCTGTCCTACCACTTTTGCCATGTCAGCTCCTGATGGCAGCTGCTGGCATAGGCGCAGCACTCTACGCTGCCACACACTGCCTATGCTGCCCCATGCATGCTGTGTCCTGGGTGCAAATGAAGTGTGATGGCACTAATGTTTTTAGTCAAAAATAGCCCCCAAAGCAGGTGAGTTGAGAGGCCAGGTCGAGCTTTGGCCAGGAGGAAGAAAATCGTATTGCAAGTTCTTGTATTTTTGTTGGGCCTCCCTAGGTAGGTCAAGTAATTCCAGCCTGAGCCCCTGCAGTGTGTGAAGGACTGATTTCAGGTGGCTGCTGCCATCCCATGTCCCACTGAGTAAAAAGAGGTCAGGGAAAAAAAAGAGCATAGTAGTTGTGGAAATAAAATGTTGGAGGCATTAGTGCAGAAGTATGGGTGAGAACAGGAGCTGAAACTCATCTGCTGAAGTGTTCACAGGTGTGACTTGGCTTGCTCATGGGGTTGGTGAAAGGTCATGTGTGTTTGGGCCACTCTTGTTCTTGTCTGGTCACTGTGGGGCTGCTCACACCAGTCTCTGATGCTGTCCCCTCACCTCCCGTGCAGACGTTTGACAAGCAGGGATTCCACACTGGCACGCCGCCTCCTTTCAGCCTGCCCTCTGCTCTTGGATCGACTGGGCCCCTGAACCCTGGTGCTGCCCCAGGTTATGCTCCAGCCCCGTTTCTCCATATCCTGCCTGCGCATCAGCAGCCTCATTCCCAGATGCTGCATCACCACCTTCAGCAAGACGGGCAGGTGAGTCAGTCCCTTCTGCCTCTACAGTGTGCCAGTCCCTTCCACATCTACAGTGTGCCCAAGGGCAGATTGGTCCCACCCACATCCCAGCAGGGTCTTGGCGGTTTTTGCTTCCTTCTGGTTTTTGCTTTGCTCATTGGGAAAGGGCCTCGACAATGATTGCAGAGTGACAGACTCGATGCCGTTGACAAGCTTGGGGAGGGAACCTCATGAAGTTCAGCAAGGGGAAGTGCAAAGTCCTGCCCCTGGGGAGGAACCACCCAAGGCACCAGTATATGCTGGGGGCCAAAGCAGCTTGTCAGAAAAGGCCCTGGGCGTCCTGGTGGACACCAAGTTAACCATGAGCCAGCAATGTGCCCTTGCTGCAAAGAAGGCTAATGGTATCCTGGGCTGCATTAGGCACAGTATTACCAGCAGGTCAAGAGAGGTGATCCTTCCTCTCTACTCAGCACTTGGTGAGGCCACACCTGGAGTCCTGTGTCCAGTTCTGGGCTCTCCAGTACAAGAGACATGGACATACTGGAGAGTCCAATGAAGGGCCACAAGGGTGATGAAGGGACTGGATCATCGCTCCTATGAGAACAGGCTGAGAACTGGGACTGTTTATCCTAGAGAAGAGAAGGCTCAGGGGGATCTCATCAGTGTATATAAATACCTGAAGGGGGAGTGTAAAGGGGATGGAGCCAGGCTCTTGTCAGTGGTGCCCAGTGACAGGACCAGAGGCAATGGGCATGGACTGAAATACAGGAGGTATTGGTGTCTCTGGCTGTTTGTCCTGGATTGCGAGACACTGTGGTGTTGCAGAGCAGAAATGGATCCGTTCAGGGGGAGCATCGCTGCGTTGGCGGGTGTCAGGGCTGTCCCAGGGGGTGGCAGCTCTTCTTGGTGACATCCAGATGGGCTCATCTGGGACCACTGATGCTCATGTCTCCTTCCTTTCTGATTT